TTTCTGCAGGTGTTAAGTAAAAGGGGGATGATACTCATAATAACTCATAAGGTTTTTATAAATATTAAATGATATTATGCAGGGAAAGTCCTTAAAAAGGAGTGTGGCACAGAGTAAGCTCACAGTAAATGTTAGCTATGATGATGATAAGGTACTCTCCAAAGTCTTCTCCTCTCCAGATGAAATATCTCCATTTCCATCAACCATTTTGTATAGCATGTAGTTCTAAAAAGAGCTCCTCTGTTAGAAGCTCCTCCATTACAGGGAGAGGCACAGAAATGGATTTCATATTCTGATGTTGTTAACATGCCCCTCATTTAGGGGAACAGCGCCCGCCTTGACCTTGACTTCACAATTGTGTCAGTGCTGCCTATGATTGCGTTGGCTTTTTGCCTGCTGAACCACAAAACTGGTCCTTATCAGTCTTACAGACACCTAAAACTACCAGGTCTTTTTCATAAAAACTAGTCAAACCAAGCCTTTCCAACCTATATTTATGTAATGTATTTTGGGGGCATGAATACATTTACATCTATTAAACTAAATTCTTGGTTTGGCATCTTTATTCCAGTCTATTGGAATACATTTGTATTCTGGTTTTATTATTCAGTCTTTCTTAATTTTGTGTCAGGTGCAAAATTTGATAAAGATGCTTTATTTTTATTCAAGTGGTCAATAAAAATGTAATCCAAACATTTCCAAAGACAGAGCCTTATGGGAAACCACTAGAGACCTCCAGCTTAAGAAATGATCTCTTCTTGAATGTTTGACGTATGAATCCACCTAACTCTATTATCATTATCTCTGCTTTTTCCATCTTGTTCCTAAAAGATATCATGCTAAAGTCAATATATGCTTTTTTAATTTCCATTCAACTACAATTATGTGGTTTTACATAATCACAGGATAGGTGTTGGCCCCCACCTGGTGGTCCCAGAACTCAGGGCATAGCTACATGGGCTTGTCAGAGTCTTTTTAATTGAGTTGATAAAAATTCAGCTGGATTGCTAGATCATATTATGGAAGGAGGCCTGAACTAGAAGCAGCTGGATCTAGGCAGTTTGGTGTTGCACATGTAGTAACCAAATTCCGTTAAAGTTTCATCTTCTTTCTTTTGTATTGATGATCGTTGGTGGATCTGGTGCTTGAGACCCGCGGCTCAAGTTACTACAGCTGGACCTTCGTATCCACGAGTTTGGCATTCATGAATTCAACCAACCGCGGCTCGTAAACATAGTGCATAGCGCACTGAAGAACTTGAGCATCCGCGGATTTTGGTATTCGCAAGGGGTCCTAGAACCAATACTCCGCGGATACCAAGGGATGACTCTACGCACACAACAATTACTTGCAAAGTTTTCCCAAGGACTGCCTCTGAAATCTGCCATCAGAAACTGCACAGGGAGTGAGAGATTGCCTAGAGGTGTAGCAGTCCTCCCTGAGGAGAGCTATAACTTCATACACAAGAAAAGAAGAGGTGCTGGGTATGCGTTTTTGACTCCATATGGGACTCAGGGAAGTTGAAGGATTATCACACTGGCTGAGAAAATGAAGAACTCTGCCTTGCCTTGCAATCCCTCCTTAGATGGCCTACTTTCCCAAGAGGCAAATACTCATTTGTGGGGGTTGCAGGAGAGAGAGTGACCTGTGGTTAACCAGAAAATGTCAATCTTCAGCCAGCCCCTCCCCACAGTTTAGATGCAGAGAGAAGATGACTAGAGGAGAATCAGGGGAAGAAAAGGCAATTGGGGAGGCAAAGGAAAATGACAGGCATGCTTAAAATATATGGTGACCATGGTCATTTTATTTAATTCTTCACTCAAACACCCCCTTGGATAAAAGTGTCTAGGGGCTGGCCCAGTGGTGTAGTGGTTAAGTTTAGCACGCTTCTCTTTGGGGGCCGAGGTTTGCGGGTTCAGATCCCAGGCATGGATCTACACCCCTCATCAGCCATGCTATGGCAGTGACCCACATATAAAATAGAGGAAGATTGGCACAGATGTTAGCTCAGGGCTAATCTTCCTCAGCAAAAGAAAAAAGTGTCTAAAACTGACCACGCAAGTGTTGATAGTAGAAAGAGCGCAGAGCCAGAAATCGGGTCCCAGTTGTATTAACTCCAGTAGGTCTGACTTTCCTACTCTGTAAATGAGGGCTCTGAGGAACCAACTCAAGCTCTGTGCAAACCCCAGTAGCCACAGAAGGAAGTGGGCAAGGAAGGAAAAGATACTTAGGCATGGTTCAGTTCTCAGCAATAATGACAAGTCTAGAAATGAAGGAAGGAAACCCAGAATGCATAGAGGGAATGGGTTTTACTGCTGCATTTCCGGGGCCAGGCTGTACTCTGGTTTGGCACACTTTTCCTGATAAAAAGCCAATGTTTTCCCCACATAAATACTCGTCGACATTAATAATAGCAGCATATGAGACCAGGATCTGTAAGGATGCCAGACTGCATGTTGATGGGCTGGAAATACCTTGGAGAGTTTCACAGAAATAAAACCCAGGGCAATGAAACTCTGGCAGAGGAGATGGAAAGCAAATTCTTTAAAGATGGTGGGAGGGAGGACGCAAACAGCTCATACACACAAGCCTTTGAAAACGGGACGCAATTGCCTCAAGCCCACTGAATAGCTGCAGTTCCGCCTCGTGCCCTTCACAGGAGAGCAGCTTTAGATGTTTGCTTTTGAGGTCCCAATTCCCTGAGTGTTGATGCCTGAGGTTTCACCGCCATCAAGTGGAACCATGGGGTATGGCAGCAGTGGACGCCTCCTCAGCCTGAAGTGAGAGGCCCAGAGGTGACACAGTCTATTTCTCATCTGACAGTGAAAGATGAGAGATAGGTTATTGAGCTCCATTTCACTATCACCCAGTTAGTTCAAAGGAGATGCCATTTTGGTTCCCAGCCATCAATCAATTGGCATCACTCAAGGACCAGGTTGGGCTAAATTTGCACATTCCATTTCAGCCCAGGTGGAGATGTAGACTTACGGGACAGGCTTTGAAACTCTCTTCTCCAACATCATAGTGACTCTCAGATGCCAAAGCCTCCAGCCCCTGAGATGTCCCTAATTTAACAAAGAGTTTAATTATGCACAGAAGACTGGTTAGCATCCAGGGGCTGACAGGGGACAGAAGACAGGGAATGACATGGGCTGTTCAAATGGGGAACGTTCTTCTACCACCTGGCAAGAACAAGAACTCAGTGAGGTGATGGCCTACTTGTCCAAACTCTGGAGGCCACTTTATTTCTTAGAAGAGAAGCCAGTTTCCAGAGATGGGTGCCGTTTCCATGTTCCCTCCTGTTTTTGAAGAGGTTGACTTGAGGACAGCAGTCATGGGGATACAAAGGTCTGGCAGACTCTTTTCCCTAATAAGAAAGCAGATCTAGAGTATTCTGTGGCTTTACCTTTCCCTCAGCCCCCTTTGCTTGGTCGATAGACTGGAGACTGGAGAAGGAGCGAAAAGAGGGAAGGAAATACGTATTTTTTTTTTGAGTGCCTACATTATGACAGATAATATACGTGAAATTATATTATTATCTCCTCACAACAAATCTCACCAGGTTATGGCCTCTTGGGAAAGACCAGAATAGTCTAGAAGAATCCAAATCATTATTTGTAATTCCCCCTTTTCAATACAAAACTAGGCTAATGCTAGTGCAAAGCCATGAGGGAAACAATCAACCAAATCTTTGTGGAATGTGAATATCCCCCATTCAGTGTGTCATTAATTCACCTCCAACCTCACCTCACCTCTTCCCACACTGGGTTTTCCTTTTGATGAAAAGCAGAGCATCAGGCTCTTGGGAAGTAACCCCCTAACTCAGCTCCAAATCTTTAAATGTCATTCAGTTTCTGTGTACAGGGATTTCTTTTTTTCCTTCACCAAAGAGCAATTTCCCAATGCCCTGCCCCACAGAGCTGTTCTGGGATTAAGTACATAATAATTGTTAAGTACCATGTCTTTTCTAAGAGATATTATGAATCAATTCTGTCAAATAAGGGATCTGGATTTATCCCCTCCTATAATTAAACCTCAGGTGAATTGTGAAACTGGCTTTGAGGTCTCCTCCCGGTCTCACCTGGGCTGCCAAACCCCATTCCAAGGCTGTCACTCCTCGCCTCCCTGGAGCAAAACCTCAGGGTCCATGACCCTTCCTGGCTCCTTGTCACCCTTGCCGCTCACCTCAAAAATTGGGGAAAACACACTTGTCTTAGATGTAAGGAGAAGGAGAGACACATGAAGAAGGGTCAAGTCCACACTCAGTGGAACTGAACCTTAAACTTCAGCTCCAACATGATGCCAACAGGGGAGCCAGCCATCTCTCCCTTGTGTCTAATGCCCACCATTGGTACTGATGCTGCCACAGTGAAGGAGTTGCCACCCATCTTTATTGCATCTCCAGGAGAGGAACAGTGAATAACTTATTAGACAAGGAATACTCCCCATTCGTAGACAATGCCCACTTATGGAACGCAGGAGGTGACAACAGTGTGAATCTATTTACAGAGGCAGAGGAGCACGGGGATGGGAGAAGAATTTATAGCAAGAACAGTGCACCAATCCTTCTGGCAAAGAGAAATTGGACCTGTCGATGCTTGTAAGGCCCAGAGGGAGAACCCCTGGTAAAGCACAGAGGGGAGATTAGGTCTGGGGACGGACAGCAAGTTCAGGAAGGCTGTGAGAAGAGAGGGGTGACCTGTGAATTGGTGCTGGGGACCCATAGAGCCCCTGCGTTAGGCAGCACCACAGAGATGAGTAAATTTACAGTGACCTTTATCATCTCCCACCCAGGCAAGAAGGGAGGGTGCCAGTAAGTTGGCTTCCAGTGTAGCTTTAGGCGGGGCAGGGCTGAGAGACAGGCCTTGGCTATTTTTGCTCAGATTTGCAGTTCTGCTCTAGGCCAAGTGATCTGCACAAAACCAGCCTTGAGTGGAGGAGTCAGCTCCTGAAGCTGAATGAGCCAGGATTTGGTCAGATGACCAGAGCTTTAGTCACACATCAAATGACAGGGAACAGTAAGAGGCTAACCCTGAGGTGTCTGAGACCCCACTTAAAAGAAGTATCCTAAGGATGGGACAAAGGAAAAACACTACAGTGCTGCTAAGAACTGGAGTGTAATTAGCCCCCGTCAACTCCAGAACAGAAGAACAGTGGTTGAGGCTGTCAGGGAGGCAAGGTCTTCCCATAACGTTTCGAACAGTTTCCATAGAAGACTCGGATTTAGCCCACGTCCTTTTGAATTCCCCGCTGGTTCTGCTGACTTGCTGTGTTAGTCCCACTCTTCAGAACAGTTAACTGCCATCTTTCCTTCCTTCGTAATCATTGTAAGGGCTGACATCATAATGGGCCCGTGGAATGGAGAAATCCTTTGGGGGAGTCCGATTCTAAAAAGGAAGCAACCATATTGTTAAACTCAGTCCCATTCTGGGCCATTTCAATGCAACTCTAATCTGGGCAGGAGTCTAATTTTCTTCCCCTTCCCCTAAACCCTCCCCCTAACGTCCTCCCTGGGCCCTGCACTCCAGTCTTCTGTCCTAACCCCATGAGGCGGATCACAGGAAAGGAGACACGTCATCCTTTCAAGGTGGCCATCAAGGGGCCATCAGCACCATAACATCATCTATTCCCAAAGGACAAATGCTCTGAATGCTAACACTGCTGATGAAAAGGGAGAAAGAGATCATTTACCTGAAGCTGAAAATGGGTGGAATAAGGGGCATAGGGTGTGTCACCTGGCTCTTCCTGACCTGAAACAGACAAGAGGAGCAATTAAAGCATTAGGGTCCTTTCCTTCATGCTCCCACCCGCGCTCACCCCAGCTGAGGCAGTTACCAAAGCAGGACACATTATCTGTTTAATTGTCTCTCTCCCTGGTAAACTGTAAGAATCATGCAGGAACAGACTGTGTCCTCAAGCCCAGGCCCAGGCACAGGGTAAGCACAATATTGGTTGAATAAATGAAAAACTAGCAGCCCATGATCACTAGGGAAACGCCTTTCTAAAACCTCACCTCATCCTAGGAGCACTTCAAAAGCACATTTGGAAGCAGTCTTTTGAGATACAGATCTGGCCAGAGATGTACTCAGAGTGACTCTCACTGAGGATTTACCCACTTCCTTAACTGCCTAACAAGGGGGAAAAAAATTATTATTTGGGGGGTGGGGGAAGGAAAGAATTTATGAGCAATTATTTTTTATATATTTGGGGGAAATCAGAGGGACTTAAACTCAGGAACAGAAGAGAAAACACGTACAATCATCATGAATACAATTTAAAGCAATCCATTTTCTCCCACCAAATTTACCTGTCCAATTTACTCAGTAAATACCTAAACACCTATATGTAAGATGTTGTGAAGAAAATAAGGATTCACTAGAATGATTCCTGCCCTGAGGCTGACCCTGAACAGGAAGGAATATACAACCACTACACAAATAACTGGGAAATGAAACAGACTCTGATAAGAGCATTTTCAAGTCCTACAGATGGGCAGGTGGAGAGAATACTGAGGGAGACTGGGGAGTGAGTGACTCTGGAAAATGGCAACAATAAGGAAGAAGGACGCATCAGGCACAGGACAGACGCGCCTTGAGCCTAGACATGGAGGCAGGAAAATGCAGTGACTCGGTTTGTTTGATGAGAGCACAGCTTCAGTGGGGGTTGGGTTCTGGCTGTGAATAGCCTCACAAGGGCCCAGGAGAGGGACCGCAGGTGCAGGGGGAAGCACCAGGAAGCTCTGCACCTCGGGCCTCAAGAGCAGAGAAAATTGTCGGCAGGCCCCTCTCTCCTATCCCAAACCCATGTCCCCTCCCCTGATTCGACCCAGAGATCAATGTCAATGCTGGAGGCCGATGAATTGATCCCTATGGGCAAGGGCAGTTTCTGGCCATGAGTTTAGCCTCTTTTAATTATGAGAACAAGAGCAGAGCACCTAACTACTCACAGCTCCAGGCAAGAGCAAAATCGTTTGATTCTTTTGTCTCTTTTCTTTCCCATGGGCCCAGAGACAACAATAAAATGTGGCTCTTCAGGCTAAATCAGAATCCTGAGTAACTTTATGGACATTCCCAGTGGATAATGACCAAAGGGCTTTCTCCCTCCTCTGCTCTGTGATCACTGCAGGAAATCATGGCTTGGCTTTATGCAGTCAAATCTATCAAGGCTCCACATTTCTGGAAGGAATACCTAGTTATCTGTTATAAAAAAACACAATCTCCCCTACTTGCCTCTAAGCATTTTTCTAGTCATTCCTTTTCCATTCCTTTGCTCCATCTTTGATTCAGAGAGACCTACATGGTATTGGGTAGAAAGTACTTGATGAAGACTCCAGAGGCCAGCTTCTAGTTCTCCGTGTCTCTGACTAGCTGGGTGATTTTAAGCAAGATGTGAGCCTTGGGGACCTTATCTGTTCTATCAGGGGTATGACCTGGATAACCTTGCATGTTCCTTACAGTTATAATAGCCTGTGATTCTCCCCCATCTTTCTACAAGGGATTCTCCACCCAGCCAGGCTCTGTACCTTGAGCGATTTCCTCTTGAGTGTAGGCTCTGTTCTCCACACCATAGCTCTGCTTCATGAGTTGAGGTTTACAAAGAGCATCCTCAACAGGGTAATCCATGGGGTTCTGTTGCTCTGTGAGCAGGCGAAGCTCAGGTACGATATAAAACAACAGGAAAATCCAACCATTGGCAACCAAGGCTGTGCTGAGGATGGTATCATCCCACTGGGGGCCAGGGGTAGGAATCAAGAGCAGGGTGATCCATGCCACCCAGCAGGCGATGGAGAGGAGCATGGTGAAGAAGATGTGGGTTCCGTGTCTCTTCCAGCCAGTGAAGGATCCAAAGAAGGTGAGGCAGGATGTGAGGAAGGTCAGCGCCATCAAGAAGAGGACATAGATGAGCAGCATGACAAAGTCTTCATTGCGCCGAGGAGCAGAGAGCTCAGAGAAGATGGCGACGTTGGTCCTGTTCATGGTGAGGACCAGGTATTCGATAGCAATGATGTCCTGCACCAGGCTCAAGCCCACAGCCAGGCCCAGCATCATCAGCAAGGAGAGGGCCTGCCTCCCGCGGACCAGCTTTGTCAAGTTGCAAGCATGAGCCAGGAGGCAGGAGAAACAGAGCGCAAAGAGGACGCCGAAGAGGAAGAAGCGTGTGGGCCCCGTGCTGCTGTCGAGTCTGATAATGAAGGCGAAGGTCAGGCCGAAGATCCCCAGCACACCCAGGAGGAAGAGAAACTGGACTGGGAGCAATTTGCGCTTGTTGGAGTCCTGCACCTTGCTGACGAGGACCACGAGAGCGAGCATGAAGGCCACCGAGGTCACAGCCCCAACGCCGGTCAACGTTTCTAGGACGATGCCCCAAGCTTCACCCAAATCACAAAGCCTGTGGTATCTGTAGTCCAGGCTGCTGCGGCAACCATGGGGGGCACTGGAGGTTGTTGTGGCCATTCTGGTCCTGCATGAGAGCAAAGGTGGGGAGGGGTGTGAATCTCCTAACAAACTCGGGCACGGAGGACCGAAGCAGAGTAGGAAAACATCTTGTATGTTCAGGCAGGGTTTTGCTCTTCAACTTACTACGTTAGATAAAGCTACTAACTTTTTTCTTCACCTCTTGTGGGAAATTCTAAAGGCTGATGAAGGGAAGGAACAAATCTCATACCTCCCTCCCCGCAATTTAACTATATTAATATTTACCCGGAAGGCAGAGGACCCAGTGCTCTGTTGAGGGGTTTCAGAGGCTCATTTCAAAAAATATGTCACAAATAATTTGCCAGGGTTTCTGATATTTTGGGCCAGTATTTTCTTAGGAATTAGTGAACATGGAAATATCTGAGCTTAAAGTTAAGACTTTAATCATGATTTACCAGTCTCAAGATTTTTTCCATCTTTGGCCCTGTTTCAGACATTATTTGAGAGCATCCCATTCTCTGGAGGATAAGAGGAGTTATCTGAATTGTAGATTTCTCTACAGAAGGTCAAACATTCACTTTTCAGCCACGGGATCCTCTTCTTCAGCAATGCTGTCACATAGTAGAAGGACTTTTTCCCTCCTTATGGTTTGTAAGGATGGCTCTACTAATTCCAAAAAGTGAGGGAAGGAGTTTTCCCTGTCACAACAAGCTCTTTTGTTTTTTGGTGAGGAAGATCAGCCCCGAGCTAATATCCATGCCAATCCTCCTCGTTTTGCTGAGGAAGACTGGCCCTGAGCTAACATCTGTGCCCACCTTCCTCCACTTTATGTAGGACACTGCCACAGCATGGCCTGACAAGCGGTGTCTCGGTGCACGCCCGGGATCCAAACTCGGGCCACCAGCAGCAGAGAGCACGCACTTAACCACTACACCACGGAGCCGGCCCTCACAATGAGCTCTTAATGAGCTACCTGAAGGAGGCAAGTCCTGGATGACACAAAAAACAGCAGGGAATCCAACAAAAAATATTACCAATAGCTAACACTCATTTTTACCTTGGATCAGAAACTCTTCTAATAATCTTTCATATATATGAATTAGTTTAATTTCATAGTAACTCTATGAGGTAAAAATTATTATCCCTATTTTACAGATGAGGAAACTGAGGCAGAGAGAGGTTATGTTACTTGCCCAACATCATACAGCCAGGAAATAGCAGAGGCAGGATTTGAATGCAGTTTATCTGGCTCTAGGATCCATGCTCTTAATTACTATAGGTACTCTCTCTAAAGTGAGTTCTAATTGGCCTTAAAATGCAATCTGAGATATTCTCATTTTCCCTCTCTCTTTCTCCTTCTCTCCCCTTCCCCTTCTCTCCCTCATCAGAAGCCCCATAAACCAACTCTGTTTATGGTCCTGATTCCACTCTCTTAGTTCAGCCCCACAAAGAATAGGGGCTCCCTGGTGATAGATGATCCACAAAGCAGGTAATCTACTCACCAACTCGGGCATAATCAGACACTGACTGGATGAATGGCAGCATACTTCCTATATAGCTGTCCTTCATCTCCCAGCTCTGCTGCCTTCTCTGCTCCCACAACCTCCATGTCAATGTTAGACCCAGCTGATTTCCCAAAGCCCATGAAATCTAATTCCTAAGGATTCAAGGCACACAAGGGAAGATAAGTTGGAAAGTTGGAAGAGTGAAAAGGAGTTTGTACATTTCCTCAAAATGGATGGTTCTCAAATTCCCAAGACAACGTCAGGTAAGATGCTAAAATTCAAAATTGCTATTGTTTTAACAGTTTCTCAACAAACTATAATTTTTTCCTGAATTATTTTACTGTTTATGTTTCTACGACCCTATTCCTTTTGTTTTGTTGTATGCTATATGTGCAAGGAATTTTTTTTTTTTACTTTAGGTTTTCTTTTCCTTATAGGATTGCTTACTCAACAGTGAAAAGTTTGGTTTTTGTTTTTGTCTTTTTTTGGTGAGGAAGATTGGCCCTGAGCTAACATCCATTGCCAATCTTCCTCTTTTTGTGTGAGGAAGATTGTCGCTGAGCTAACATCTGTGCCAGTCTTCCTCTATTTTGTATATGGGATGCCACCACAGCATGGCTTGATGAGCAGTGTGTAGGTCCATGCCTGGGATCCAAACTCATGAACCCTGGGCTGCCAAAGCGGAGTGCACAAACTTAACCACTATGCCAGTGGGCCAGCCCCAACAATGAAAAGTTTTGAATTGACTAGAAGAGAAATATGGTCCAGGGAGAGTGCACAGTTAGAGGAAGAGGAGGCTCACTGAGGCCCTGCCATAGAAAAGCACCAGGAAAGATCTCAGCCTCCTCTAGTGCCAAATAGGGAGAGAATGTGCAGGAAGAAATCAGAAAGAAGGGGAATGGGCAGGATTGGAAAGCAGGAAAAGGTATAAAACATCCACTGAATCCTGCCTCTTTCCTTTTGAGCAGGAAAAAAGCTCAGAATATCTTCACCACATACTCGTAAATGCTTATAAACGAGATTTCTCTGGCCCTGCCTAAGGTGTACCAACCACTATGGGGTGCTGTGATCAACCCAAGAAAAAAAGAACACCTCCCTTCTCCTTCCATCCTGGCTCTTCAAGATCAAGTCACAAGGCAGAGAACAGCACAGTGGAGACAAAATGAACCATCGCTCGCTGACTATCGAGGGCAAATGAGCATCCTCCTCAATGTAGACGGAATTCAAATCCCTGCTGCCCTTAAAGATGCAAAATCGTCTTTTCAATTCCATGAGATAGTCATCTTACCAGAATTACTTCATTCACATAGCAATTGGGGGAAATTATATATGTGTAATGTGTGTATGTACATGTATATGTACGTATATATGTATATGTATATATATATGCAATATAACACATACGCATATGTAAATTAATATTATGTATATGTTAGAATATTAATGTGTGGGATGTTAGAATAAAATAACACCAGATATAGCTTAAATCTATCTTCCTAACTTTTTAATGAAATTTGCTTCTCCAAGCTAAACTTTGTATTATAGAGTCATTCATTCAACAAATATTTACTGAGCGCCACTATGTGCTAACCACTACTCTAGATACTCAATGGTAAAGAGGAAAACAGACATGTTTCCTGCCATAGTAGAAGAGACAGACAGACAGACATAATCTGCCACTACTGCCACAGCCTTCCCACAGCCTTTCCTCACCTGGAGTCTGTCACCTGCCTTCTATCCCACAGAAATTACACCAGTCATCCCTACCTCATGCAGAGCACAGAACAAAGAATGGTTTATGTTCCACCTCTACAGGGCAGTGCAGAACGAGAAACAGGAGGAAAAAGAAAGGCAAATGTGGGGCCGGCCCAGTGGTGCAGCAGTTCAGTTCAGGCACTCTGCTTCAGCGGCCCAGGGTTCGCAGGTTCGGATCCCAGGCGTGGACCTACACACCGCTCATCAAGCCATGCTGTGGCAGTGTCCCACATACAAAATAGAGGAAGATGGGCACGGAGGTTAGGTCAGGGCCAATCTTTCTCAGAAAGAAGAGGAAGAGTGGCAACGGATGGTAGCTCAGGGCCAATCTCCCTCACCAAAAAAAAAAAAAGAAAGGCAAATGAGCTTCAGATACGGCCAGCCCCTGAAATACAAATACCCAAAGTCTGATATATATGCCTGGCCTACAAATGTCACTCTGTGGTGGTGTGGGGAAGGGAGGTGGGGAGGGTGTTTCCTTGTCTATGCCATGAATACAGAGGAGGAAGAACTCTGTCTAATTCAAGGGCAGCCCAGACAAGCGAAGGGACCCAGACTCTATGCATTTCATCTTCACTCACCTTCCCCTCTTCACTTCACTCCCTCTCAGATTAATCATAAGGGTGGTGTCCAGCTGGAAAGGTTTTTCTCTCATCCTCCCTGCCCCTCCCTGCCAACTGCTCCTTCCCACCCCTCAAAACAATGCTGTTTGTTGACAAGTGGTTGTTATCATACTTACCTGATCATTATGAAGGACTTCGAACCTGATGACTCTAAAAGTGACAAAGGTTGATGATGTTTTTGCCTCAAGGACAGTTCCAGTGCTGGACAAAGGGACAGGAAGGCAGAGACCTCCTGCCCCCAACTTGGACCTCTAGGCCCCTCCCTTCTGGTGCAGCTGTGCGAGAGGGGGCTGTGTCCCAGTGCCTCCTGACACCCACAGACCCAGGACCAGCAGGAGCCATGGGCAGTGCGTGTGTAGAAGGGAGAAAAACAATTTCCTCCAATTTCCCCTCCACCTCCCACCCCCAGTCGTGCAGGGAGATGGACACACAGCCCCTGAACTGTCTTTAAAAGACTGTTTTTCAAAAAATGTTTATATTCTTATTATAGAAATTTTCAAGCGTACTCAAAAATAAAGAGAGTAGTATAATGGAGGCCCGTGTACTCATCACTTGATTTCAAAAATTATCAATATATAGCCAATTTTGCTTCATCTACCTCCCCCACCCCACTTGCGAGATTATTTTTAAGCAAATCCCGGACATCATATCATTTTTGGCTTAAACACTTCAGTGTGTACCTCTAAAAGATAAAACTCCTGTTTAACTTAACCATACTTTAAAAATTAACAATAATCCTTTAATATCAAGTATCCAGTTAGGGTTCACATTTCCCAATTCTTTCATAACTGTCTTTTTAAAAACTTCTTAGTAAATATTTTTTCATCTGAGCGACTAATTTTTTTGGAATTATCCTTCTTAATTCACCTCTGTTAGCCCTCCTCCACCCCTTCCCCAGCATGACAGGGATTACACAACGGGTCTAAAATGTCCTCAGTACACTGAATTTTAGTGAGAGGAAAGTAAAACTCACCAGACTCATGATCAAGCAGGTCTGTACTGAGAAGGTGCTGTGTTGCCCAGGGAATGGCCCAGATGAGGAAAAGAATCAGAAAGGTGAGTGGGGGAGAAGGAGAGGTTTCTGACAAGCTGACCAGGACTTCTAGAAAGCAGGGTTTGAGGAGGAAAAGGGAAGCAATCAGCATTTGAGCGTGTAAACTGCC